TTCTGATCCCCGATGAAGAGAAAAGCGGACGAGAAATTTTTGCATGGTGTCTGGTTAAATATCTCGATATGTAATGGCTCAATGGTTCACGAGGATAATTTATCATTTCTACGTGTTTAATATAGCGTAATGATAATCAATTTTAAGGAATTCGAACCATTCGATATTGAATATTCAATAAAAAAAGATAAAGTGATAAATTATAGAATTTAAACAATTTAAAAGATTATCGGTCAACAGACACCATTGTAATAAAAAGCGCAAGAATTTTTATTCCGCTTGTTTCCCACATTCAACAATTCGATCAGTTGAATTAACGTAATTGAATACATGATTGGCTTAAAAATTTAATAACCTATTAATTGGCATTTCAAATTTAAAGATAGAAATTGAAATTAAGAAGACGTGTTATATTTAGCGTTGTAATTAATTATAAAAAATTATGATAATTTTTTTTTTCGATTACCGTTTCATTCAAATTCAGGATAGAGATATAAAGAAAATAATATAAAATATATAAAATCAATAATAATATAAAAGAAATAATATAATATAAAAAAAATTAATTTTTATAATTTTCAATAATTAATAATTTACAAATATTTTATTCTTTTCGAATTATTATTTAAGTACAATAACACGTCCTGTTAATCTTAATTTCGTACAAGAGGCAAATTTTAAAATGCATATGCGTATAATATATACGAATATATTCTGCGGCGTGACCGCGAAATTTCAACTTCCCGCATTTTTAACTTTGTATTAGTAGATAAAGAACACGATGATTACCATTAATGTTACCTTACACGAATATAAACAATAATATTTGTAATAGCTGTAAATTTACATTACGACAACTCGGAGAGATATGAGATTAAACGAGAAAATTTAGACACACATTCACGCAATTTTGCTATTATTGTTATAGCATAAAATATAAGTAAAAATAGTTACGAATTTAACAAATTAACGATATAATTAATTAATTATATATGAGCATCGAAATAGTGCAGTTTCATCGCGATTTTATTCACGATGCAGATTGCAAGTTGCAAAAATCGAGAGAGAGAGAGAGAGAGAGAGAGAGAATAGAATTTTAAAAGCTAAACGCGAGAAAAAAGAGAACAACAAAGTCTGGTGTATTGCATTTTCGAAATTCTTTTTTATAATTATATAATTAGTCTTCTTTTTAACTTTTTAACTACGACTTAATTCATTTCTCTGATCAAAGTTTTATTAAAAAAAACTATAGTAACAGATTTCATAATAATATAGATGCGTCTATCTATTCGTAAAATAGTTTGATATCGTTGAGAATATTTATTTTTATCTATGCTCTTTATCATTAAATTTGAAAGTTAGTTCCTTTCTCTACAAATTTATAATGTACATAAATAATAACAAATGAGAAAAATTTTATTAGAAGGGTTAAGATACAATTAGATAAAGAAAACCAAATGTCATCTATCATGAAAATAAATAAAAAAAAATTTTTAATAATTTCAAATTCAAGATTCTTTAAAATGTACATAGAAAGATTGACGAAAGCTTTTTCAGATCGAATCGTGTTCGAATGAAATATCTTATTATGCAAATATGCAAGGCTTTCACTTTGGTTTTTATTCTTACTTAAAATTAATGAAACGAAAATGAGAATCTGTTTATAGAAATTAAAAAAAAAAAAAAAAATGCCTGGAAATATCACTTGCGATGATTACGATTATTTGTAAAATGCGAAAGAAGGTCCTCATTGAAAGAAAAAAAAAAAAGAGATTATGGAAATATAAATCCTAATGGCTTGTACGGGTACAATTTTCTCGAAAATCGAATGGAAGAAGACCACATATCCCTCGTTTTCATGTATTATAAATAATGCACCGTCGTTGCAAGAATCTTTAGAAAGTCCCCCTTCTTCCCTTCCCCCATCCAAAAAAAAAAAAATAATAAAAAATATTGAAAGAAAAATCAATGTTAAACGAAATGATAAAAGCTGAACGATCGAAGAGATAAGAAGAAAATAAACACGATAACAGCATGCGTGTGATCGAAATCGGTTCCCAAATCTGCCTGCATACACCGCCACGTGTACCGACGTTTAAGTGGATCGTAATTTGTAAATTACTATGGACTTCCTAATTATATGCTGGTATATGATAATACATGTGCTCTGCCACAATAAAGCAGTTTTTTTTATCTAAAATATATGTCGTTATTTTTTTCTTAATATACCTGGGATGAAATCTTACCGAATAGATAACAATTTATTGTATCATATTAAAATACGAATCGAATAAACCATGATAAAATATAAAATACAATAATAATTTTGAAAAAAAATTTACTGAATGGAATTGTACTATTATTAGATATTTTTTATATTGGTTTTTATATTTAATATATTTTTAATTTAAAAAAATAATAGATCATTTATAATACGAAAGCATGAAAAAATTGTATAGAAATATAATTATACGTACATATAATAGAATTTGAGTTTTAATAATTTAAAGTTTTTATAAATAAGAATAATTAAATTACAAAAATCTTTTTTGTAATTTAAAAAGTATTGAAAATGATAGAGTTCAAAAAATAGAAATTGCAATTTGAATCAGATTATCATATATAATAAAGTTTAATCAACTATTAACAATAGAAAAGACAAGATAAGTCGTTGATATCTTTAATAGTGTGAAGTTATGTATAAGTTACTTAGTTTCAACGACATAGAAACGTGGCAGCACTGTACCGTCCTTGTTAGTTTTACGTGGCTATGGCTGTCATTCAGAGTGATATTAAAAATTTTTGTCGTTTGCACATTCAATATTAAAACGTAGATAATTTAATTTCTTTATAATTTTCAGAAACTAAAAATTAACAAGTCAAAAATTGTATTTTCATATCTTTGAAAATTATTAAAATTAAATATATTGTAAAATTTCAAAATTCAAATTCTAATTATTATAGATTACTATCAACAATAAATAATGCAATAATATATATTATTTTTCATATATAAAATTTTAACTAGATTAATAGATATAAATAAATAATAAAATATTTCATTTTAAATTAATAAAATTAAGAAACTTTTTATTATTTCTTTAAATTTTCTAAATTTATTTATTATATATAATTTAAAATCAATTTTACGTAAATAAAATGATTAGAAATATGCATTCTATTTTTTCCAAATAAGTCACGTGATCATTAACGAATATTCGATATATATAAAAAAATATAATCTTTCAAAATAATAATGAAATAATCTAATATGAAATTTTTATATAATCGTAAACTCGATATTATAAACATTATAAACTCAATATTACTGATTTTCGATAAATATATTTCTTTCAAAGCTCTGATTTATTCTTATTATTCATCGACAAGCATGCCCTGTCTGTTTGATCATGCGTGATTGTATCCACACGTAGAAGTGGGAGTAATTGTGCATGAAAATTTGATAGGTTTGCATTAACTTGGCCGACCTCTTAAACACCTGGACGATCAATCATTACATATCTAAGGCAAGTCTATACGAAGTTTATACGATTTGGATTATTACATATAATTTTATTAATTAAAAATGAAACATAAGATTGGTGAAGATTTTAGCCATTTTGCGATTTTATCAAAGTACGACGTAAATCGTATTAAAGAAATAAACAATTAAAAAACATAATCAATACCGTAAAAGTGTTAGTTTTTCTTGTCTGGTAATGATTTAGCGATGACGATGTCTGATGGAGTAGTCCACCCATATTAATTAATGATGAATTTGAAAGAAAAAAGTCTTCGCAATGTTCAAAACTGTCGTGTGTAAAAGCTGTTGGCTTCAAGCGCGACGTGATCGATACGCAATCGTTCTGCCGAGTATTTCCGAAGTTATCCGTAAAGAAACGAAGGTAACCGAATATTAACGAAGTTGGTCGAGGTAGTATAGTGAGCAAACGACGCGTACGGAAGAACGCGGGGTCTTCTCCGGCTTGGATTGAAACAGCGTTCGCGTCTACGGGCGCGGTTTTGCGTCTCGAGCTGGCGTTTTACATGGTAAAATGTCCTCCCTCGATTATCTGGACTTGTGTCGATTATGTCTCGTGAAGGACCGTGTTTCGGTGCCAATTTTCGAGGGTGAAGGAGACGTACGACAAATATTTCTCAAGATCGCTGCCTGTCTACCGGTCAAGGTAAGCCAACTACGCCATCGCTTCGACAATGGCGATCCGCCATCTTGTGCATTTTCATAGCTACATCGCGTTTCTACAATCGTCCACGACTTTTCGACCTCCCAGTAGATGTATTTGCTCCCGATTGTTTTAGAGATCGCCCTATAGACAAGAAATTACAAGCAATTCCAAAATAATGATATCCAAATAGCTGTATATTGATGTTACACTATTTATGTTTCCTTTTTTCTTCAATTTATTTAATTTGTTCATGACGCTACAAATTATTCAATAAAATTTTGCCGCGCTTTTTTCCCTACCTTAATGTATTGCGAATCTACCCAAATTTTTCATCACCTGAGTAGTAGCCCTTTAATATTTTCATTTCAAACGACGATTCGCAATGTGTTTTTCTATTTACAGCAACTATATAACTGAATAATCCTCTTTCTTTTCGACATCTTGTTTTCGACACCATTGTTTCTATTATAAAATGCCTATAATTAATTATTTATTTGTATTATTTAAAATGGTTTTATTAATTTATTTTTAATGTTATATTATAATATTTCGAAATCGTTTTTATAAAAAATTGAATTAATTTCACTTTTATATTTGAAATTTGAAAATACAATTTTTTATTTATAAAATTTAAATCATTAATTTTAGTCATTAATAAATAAATGTTCAATATATTGTTTGAATAAATGAATATAATATATATTTTATTTTGATATATTTTAAAAGTATTACCTAAAATTTAAAATTTTTGTTTTATTGTTACATTGATTGTTAATTTATATTATTCAAAGACTATTATATTTTGCTTTATTAAAATATTTTTATTATATAAATAAAATATTTGTTGTAAATTATTTTTTTTTTTTTTTACATATGATTACAGCTTACAAGAGAAGATAAGTTACCTAAGAAGATATGCGATGATTGTGTGTATAAAGTAGAATTATTTTATCAATTTTGGAATACAACAGCAAACGCAGAAAAACAACTTTTGCAATGGCTAGGAGAAGTCAGTTTAGAAGACAAACAGGGTTATGTTACCAATGTTCTCAATCCGGTAATTTTTCATATACATACATTTATTTCTATGTGTAACAAAATCTAAAAATAGACATTCTTTTATTTTTTGACATTCAGTTCCATGTTTACCTTAGTTACTGCTAGTGTTAATGATAAAAATATTTTAAATTTCATACTTTTGTAAGTTTTTTAATTGTTTAATGTATTGAATTTTCTTTGCTATTTCTAATTTATTTTTATACTTAAAATATATTCTAATAATTTTGATATATCTTGATGTATTGATACATTTGAAGGTTATATTAAGTTGAGTTATAAAAAATAAAAAAATATTTTTATTTAATTATAAAATATTTGTAAATGATAAATTTTGTTCCTTACTCAATTACAGAGTGTAATGAAACAAGAACAGAGTACAGAGAACAGGTTAGATGGCAATGTGATGCAGCAAGTAGAGGAGCATCAAAACAATATGGGGATGGGTATGATGGATAACATGGGTTTGGGTATTCCCATGATAATATCCAGTGCTAATCAACAACAAATCACCTCAGTTCCTATGGACACCAGCAGCAATTCTGTACAAACTATTCAGGCAGTACCTGGTCCAAGTTCACAAACTACACATAACCAAATACCACAGAATCAAACAAACTCTACGCAACAAGAAGATGAAGAGGAAAGTAGTGAAGATGAAGAAAATTCTGACGAAGAATGCGATGGAGATGAAGGTAAATATCGTAGCATTTATATATTTTTATTATTAGTTTTTTTTTTTTTTTTAGAATTTTCTTGTTAAATGAATAAAAATAAAAATATTTAAATTTTTTTCTTTTTATTAGGCCTACCTGTAAAAGAAGAAAGTGAAGAAGATCCCAGCAATAGAACCATAGAGCCTACTACTTTTGTAAATGTTTCCTTGGCATGTGATGAAGCAGGTCCTTCAGGACTGCAGCAACAGAAGATCTCAGATATGCCTGAGATGCCAATTCCACAGCCAGCTGATGGGGATCCCAAATCTGGGTGAGTCTTTTATCCATACTTTTATATCCTAAGGGCCAAAGGTGCCATTTTGTTGTGGAGATCACACACACTTACACAAACATTTTTATGACTTTTTTCTTTTCTTTTTTTCTTTTCTTTTTTTTCTTTTCTTT